TTACTTTGCCAAATTTTATAAAGCCTTAAAATTTCTAACAAATGGAAAAAAAATAATATGGTGAAGCAACTACATTTGGCATGGATTCTTCTCTATTGCGTATTAGTGTCTCAGATGCTTAGTAGTACTTTCGCTGTGCCAGATTTCATGCAGCTCTCAAATATGTGATGAAAGTTTTTGTTCACACGAGACAATAAAAGTTAGCATGGATTTTATTAAGTTGCTTTTTAGTGTCTCTGATATTTAGTAGTACTTTAATTTGCCAGATTTAATTCACACAATGAATTACTTGTAAAGTTTATGATCTAGTTGTTTTAATTCGTGATGTTTACATGACATACATTATCATAATATTGTTGTGAAGCTGATGGATTATGTGCTGTTGTGGCAGGATCTACAGCTGATATAAGACATTTTTTGTTTTGTTTAAAACATCATCATCAACATCTTTCATCTTACTGAGTTATAGTAGAACAGAGCACTTATAGGTGACTACCCTTGTGCAATGATGTTGATCTGTTGTATAAACCAGAACAAGATTTAATTTAGTCTTCATATTTGAAAAAGTTTTTATTGAAATAGGGCAGAACAATCACTGACTGCACAAATTAAATTTGGTTGCCAGTGAGTGACTTTGCTAGTTAAATTAGTAATAGCGTTACTTCGCCAGATTTCATCATCTAAACAAATGTATGTTGAACACGTTTGATCAATTATGACAGTGCACAAACTTATTCATTAAATGAAAATAATCTTGTGAGGTAGAGAAAAGTGTAATAGTTGAAGAGAAAGAAATTAGTGAACTTTGTATGGTTTCACAAGTTGTCCTTGATCACTATTCTTATTTTAATTTTATGTCAGGTAAGTTTTTTTTTAAAAATTCACTTGCAATTGATATCTGAGTACTGAATTGTTAACTCTTTGAATCCCAAGGGACGCATCATACGTTCATAGGTTCCTACCTAGAAGCCCAATAAACGCATGATGCGCCGATTTTATTACTTTCTTTACTATCCCCATGGGCCTGTGATGCAAAAGCCCCTGGGACTCAAAGAGTTAAGTTTAATTAGTCTTGCAGTATTGAGAAGATTCTTGAGTGTGAACAAAGACACTAGAAAAAGATTTTAGGCAGCAGATATTCATAGGCTCCTATTGTTTTTTTTTTGGGTAGGTGATGAGTAGACCCCCCCCCCCCCCCCCCCCCTCGCCCCACACCTTTTTCTCCTCTCCATCCAACCAGGATGTTGTAAAAGACAATTGATTAACTCTTTGAGTCCCAAGGAACGCATCATACGTTCATAGATTCCTACCTAGAAGCCCAATGAACGCAAGATGTGCCGATACGTCTCTCTTGACTACCCCTTGCGCCTGTGATGCTAAACCTCCTGGGACTCAAAGAGTTAAGGGTTTGCTGAAATTGGATGTGTTGTGCTAAAAAGTGCAGATATTGCAGCCTAGCTATAAATCAAAACACAGCATGCTAACTGCTCTTTAAGGGGTTAAAACAGAAAAAGAACAAGAAGATATATCTGTTAAGGTAAATTATGTTTCCTCTGCACTGATTTAACACATTTTGTTGTCTTTGCCAGCAAGTACCATAATTACCAATCCATTCTGACAGATTGTTTACTTTTCTTTTAGAATAATGCAAGTCTTTTGGCCAGATAGTAAATGTAAGTAATCACCATAGGGTGATTTACTTGGCATACAATGTGGCAATAAGGAAATAAAAAAAAAAAAAAGCTAGCACAAAAAAAAAATTCTTTTCTATGACTATCTGAATGCATGCAGGGCTTTTTACAGTTTTGCTGTTTTCAGTTAGAGCAGCTTTTATGCTTTCAAAATGGATTTGCTTACAGAAGTAAGAAAAGAAGTGCATAATTTGCTTGCTAAGCAGTGCTGTTCATGTTAATTTGATTGTTCTTATGTTTTGTTCTTGTCTGTTTGTTCATTCTCATTTAGGCAATGGCATAAACATGAAAAATGAAAACTGCTAGCAAAAGGCAAAATGACAATTAGCAAATACTTAGGGAAACTTCTGCTGTGCTTCATTGATTTCTACCCTAATTTTATTGTTTACTACTAATCCGCTATGCAATTTAATTTTTATTTATCCGATTTTTCAGACTTTTAAATTTTTTTTCAATTTTATTATACCCTTCAACATCTGCTAAAGTCAAAGTGTCTGTCTCGCAACACTAAGATCAAAATATATAAAACGTTGATAAGACCAGTAATTTTATATGGTTCTGACACTTGAAGCAGAAATAAAAGAGATGAGGCCTTTTTACAGTTTTTCAAAAACAGTCTTACGACAAATCTTTGGACCCATCAAAGATGCTAACAGCGGGGAATGGAGAGTGAGAAGCAACAACGTAACACATAATCTGTTTAAATCACCACTGATCACTGGCATCATGAGAGCTAACAGACTAAAATGGTTGGGGCATACTGAAAGCATGTCAGATGACAGAAAAGTAAAAACTGTATACACCTGAGAGAGGAATGGGCGTAGACCGCTAGGCAGACAAAAAAAAAGTTCAAGAGATAATGTCCAGCCAGACCTGCAAACAACTGGTGTCACAAATTGTAAAGATAAGGCCAGCTAGAGAGATGAATGGAGACAAGTGATATCTGCAACAGTAAACCTCAAGGGCTCAGAATGCTAAAGAAGAAGTTGACTATTCTGTGCTACTTTATGTGGAGTAAATGTTCAGCGTACATTTGACATTATGAATGTGTGTGTGTGTGTGTTTTTTTAAAGATAGTTTTTATACACTATGCACTATTCGTATTCGGCCGAATAGTTGGACCCGCTATTCGTATTCGGCCGAATAGTGAAAATCACTATTCGGTACAGCCCTAATAGGTATATCCTACAAAATGAACTGGGAAGGTTAACCTGGTGAACAAATGCTTGATGTGATTAAATGTATTGGCCAAAAGGTGCAAATATTGCATCTATAAACAGGCACAATACAATTATACCCTTCTGACAACAAAAAAAGAAAAGAAGATGAACTGGCAGACAAGCGTAATAACTTTAGCAGCTTTCTCTGTTAAAACCAAATGATAACCATATTATGTATGTACACTTTAATTGTGTACCCTTTTGTACATTTGTGTGCTGTCTTTACTGCCACTTATTTACCACTTGGTGGTGGTGTAGGGCAGAGAGGTCATGAGGTCACCACTAACTTTGCGGGTAAGGATTTTTATTTTGACCCCTACACCCCAGTCCACAGAAACAAATGATGAAATCATTAGTTCTATGATGTCTTTAACAATGATAATTTAATAACAGAATAACCATATTATTTAAGCGCATTTGTCAGTACCTGTGATGAAATCAGTAGTTCTTATTGTATGTTGTCTCTAAACAACTGTAATGTAACAAAATGATTATTATATTATTTATGTACATTTAACAGTATCTGTGATGAATTCCTAAATTCCTGTATGATATTTTAGCAGTGCTAATATTACAACAATAATAACCTTTCTTTCTGTGACATGAATTTCTTGAAATAATTTCACACAACTAACTACTTTTAAAGTAAAGTTTATGATCTAGTTGTTTTATTTCCTGATGTTTACATGACATACATTATCATAATATTGTTGTGAAGCTGATGGATTATATGCTGTTGTTGCAGGATCAACAGCTGGTATTAGACATTTTTACATTTGGTAAAACATTGTCATAATCATCATCAACATCATCATCAACTTTCATTTTATTTATCATCTTTCATTGACCAGTGGGTGTTGGTAGTCATGTCAATCTATAACCTTCTGTCTCATGTACTTTCAGTCAATTCTAACACAGATGATCTTTTACATCAGCGGTTCTCAACCTATTGATCGTGCCCTTTTTGTGTGGGTCAAACAACCCTTTCACAGATGTCACCAAAGACCATCACAAAACAAATATTCACTAAGGTTATGAAGTAGCGATGAAAATAATTATATGGCTGAGGGTTGCAACAACATGAGGAACTGTATTAAAGGGACACGGCATTAGGAAGGCTGAGAACCATCGTTGTATGTCATGATGTCAGATTGTCCAGCATCTTTTCTTCTAGTCTCCCGTTTCCTATTTTCTTTGTTATCTTTCCAGCCGTGTGTATTAAGTATATGTCTAATCACTTGATACCTTTGTTTTGGTTGGCACATTTCTGTATTCCCGTATGATCGGGTTATTTTACGCTATAGGAGGTGTGAGAATTACAGCCCATGGTGATGGTGAGTGTCAGCAGCAAGACCCTCCTAACCTCCGTAACACAAAGACTGGGCAGAATTGTAGAAACCGTTTGTCGCCCATGCAGCATACTTCCTTTGTATGCCTGCCACTGAGGAGAATAATCAATGATTGCACTCTGCCTTGGCTGTTGAAGATGAGGACAGGGCATGCATGGGAATGCCCCGAGTGCTGTGATATCAATTCTTGACTCAACTGAACTGAACTGATTGCACACAAAGGAAACAATAAATCCACCATGTTAATGCCACAGTTTTAATGAGATTGTCTAATTATTTATAGTACAGTTTCTATCATCACAACCCAAATCAAAGCAAAATGTGAAACAATACAAACTACATTTTGGTCCTATAAATAAAAACATGATATATAAATTTAAAATAATTAAATAATATATACTCTGAGAATTTAATTGACACTACATATCACAATTATAACCCTGAGGGTTGAACAGGATATTTGTGAAACATTACTACCACCACTACATGCTTACACAGGGATAAGGTAGCATCAGTATGTTTAGAACAAAGCATGCTGCAAAAGCTGCTGGATTCGAATATCAATACTCCACCTGTTTGCCTGTCAGAGCTTCCATCCTAGACCAGTTACCAACAAAAGCTGAGGATCTGGACATCTTTACATCAGTATCTATACTGTTATTTCATTTAGCCTTATCTGTACTTAACAATGCAACTGTTATATTTGTTTTCCATTGAAGTGTGCTCTTATTTTTCTCCAG